AGCTTATAAAGCCTTATATCAACAAAGTGGCTCTCAATACAAATTAGTAAACTAAAAGTGAGATTGTAGTCCATCACAAGAGTGAGCTTGGAGCGGTGGCTACTTTACAACACACACAGGGACCATGGGGAACAAAAGTAGCCCCCCTCCAGAAGGACAGTGTCAGCACCAATTCAGAGATGATTTGAGGATCTACAGCCGAGTGATACACTAATAAGATACATTTTTGTTAATAGTTAAGGGCCTTGAATGCATTTTTAAGGTGTATTACCTGAGTTTAGTGTCAATTTAACTTCAACTTAACCCTTAAGCCTTAAAGCACCTCTATCCCGTAGTAATATTTACATAAATTATTGCCAAGTATGGACTATCTAGCTAACTGGAGAATAAGCAGTGAACTACTATCTGTACCCGAAGAGCCCGCTATTCCCTCAATGGGTCTTGCCATTTTGCCTTTCACACAGGATCGTTAAAGTGAATCCACGATATCAATCAGCATATCATAGATACTTCTTCTTTTCCTCTGACAGTCATTCGTCCCTGCTACCTGCATGGCCAGCGGCCAGGGGGAATAGTAAGATATGGAGATGAGGGCTTATTTGGTGACTAACTCAACCTCAAAGCAACCTAAACTGTAGCCTTGATCCAATTCCTTATTTCATTATTTAACCTAATCCTAACCCAAAATATACTAAATATCATGACAAAAAGCTTTATTATCAGGCTAATACTAGTGCCTATGTCACACTGAAAACATTTGCGTGAGAAAACAATTCACTAAAACATCTGCGCCTAAAAATGTAGTCCTCAAATGACTGCACTGAAAACTATTTGTCCTTTAGAGAATGCATGTTTGACTGCTGTAGAAACAAAGTGTCAGCTCATATGGGGCAGGGGCAGATGTGAAAGGTTCTGCAAAAGTGTTTGTTAGTGCTATACAATTTGTTAGTGCTATAAGGCTGTGATATACACCAATCAGTCATAACATTATGACCACCCGCCTAATATTGAGTAGGTTCCCCTTTTGCTGTCAAAACAGCCCTGACACACAGAGGCCTGGACTCCACTAGACCTCTAAAGGTATGCTACGGTAAGCTGTCAGTAGTAGATCCTTTAAGTCTTGTAAGTTGTGAGGTAGGGCTTTCATAGATCGGACATGTTTATCCAGGACATTCCACTGATGCACGATTGGACTGAGATCTGGAGAATCAAGAGGCCAAGTTAACAACTCAAAATCATTGTTGTGTTCCTCAAACCATTCTGTAACCATTTTTGTAGGGTGGAAGGGCGCATTACCTGCTGAAAGAGGCCACTGCCATCGGGGAATACCTCTACTGGACAACAAGGACCAGCCTTCGCTCCCCATGGGCATCAATGAGCCATGCCAGCTCAATGTATATGTGTATATACATATTTACATACACATTTATTTCAGTTTTATAGCACTAACAAATTGTGCAGCACATTGTGAAGAACCTTTTACATTAGCCCCTGCCCGTCTCTTGGCCAGCTTTTATTTCATATAGTTTTGATATGCAAACCAATTCTGTTATTGTTTGTTCCCATGAGGGGGATTTACTCTCCCATTTGTCCTGGTGACCATCACTGGGACTGAAAATGAATACAAATAAAACATTTTGTGCTGCCACCAGTTTAGGAACAGAATGGAAATCTTAAAATGGGGGACATTTGTTTTAGTTTTTTTTAATTACTCTCACATTCTGTTGTGTATACAAGGCAGGAAGTGAAGATAAATCTCTCCAACGGGAGAGATATTTGTAAAAAAACAAAACAAAAAAAACCTGACTGGTTTTAAATCATATACGCACAAAACAAAAGTTTTGGCTTAAAATATACTTAATCCCCCATTTACACATGACTCTCAATCCAGATATTGGGATTCCTATTTATCTTTTTTGCAGCAGATTACATTTTAGTCAGCCGTTACACACCATACTTTGTAAAATCGTACTTAAGCTAAAGAGCAAAATCCTGTTCTTTGCACATTGGGATTTTACAGCCTACAACTACTGTTACTTTGAAACACAAAATAATGAGAATAAACCAGATTTTAAAGTAATTAGGTGGATAAGAGCCCCATACTCTGCAATTGCAAGCAGCATTTAGAAGAAAAAAAAAGTTAAAAAAAGAAAAAGCAGAGTGGGACCGTGAGTCCTGGCAACTGCTATAATCCTTTTCAAATTGCTCATATTAAGATTAAAGATCACTTTGTTTCTCTATTCCCACAACTGGTTGGGTATGGTAAAGAAATCAGCCTGCTGCTTTTATATGTAACATCTTTAACATTTGCTCTGTTTTCTGTGCCTGTGATTAAATGTAACATTTTGAAATCCCAACGTTCTGAGAAAAAGCATAAATCCTCCTCTCACAGCTGCTGTTTGACTCCAAAAACACATGCAACTTTTTTTTTTCAGGCATCGACCATCAAATGCTCCCAGCGGACAAGCGCTGCGGAACACCTGCATCTCTTCATTTCGTTCCAATAACGCAGTCTCAACTTTTAAAATTACAAAAATAGATGCTGTGTTCAGCTGCGTGTTCGCTCTGCCCCTAATTCCCGTGAAGAAAAATCCTAGGAGCATGAAATCATTCAGGCAAGGTCTGTCATCGAGAGGAAGACTTTTTTTGTGGCTACTTTTTTGCTGTAGATTCACAGCAAGAATACAAGAATATAAATAAAAAAACAAAACTAGAAATGATAAAGTTGTATGTAAAACCGAACAATATTTTCTGTTTTAAGAAGGCTCTACTGTTCAACCCCGAAACAACACAATTCTGCAGTGCTGTCCTGTACATTCTGCAGTGTTCCCTTAAGTGGTGTAATCAAGACGTTTATTAGGACTACAGAACAGTCCCCACCTGTATTATGGAGATGGGGGGGTGTTTTGCAGACCTACCACACTTCCAGTCCTACGGCAGCAACTGGCAATAGTGCTCCTCCATAGATTCAATGTAGTGAGTCACCGCTGTCAATCTAGGACAGGAAGCATGTTACTGGCAGGATCATAAAGGTGTAAAACTAATGCAGCCACCACATATAAGGGCTGGGAAGCTGAAATATACTGTTTGCAAATGTAGTTTTTGGATTTTATTACACATGAAGTACACAGGAGGACGGAAAAATGTTAGATTCTGTTCAGATCACGGTTGTATGCTAAATAGGTATTTTGTTTACAAAAGGTCAGTGGGCCAAAAAAAAAGTAATTTTAGTTTAGGTAAATGACAACAGGTAGAAGCAAATTATTTCCATTTTGGAACATGAAGCAGCAGAAGTAAGACTTTAGGGCTGATCTAGAAGAGATGATTTTTGGGTCAGAGTCAGAAACTCCTGTGAGAAAGATCCACCACTGGAGGATTTAAGAAGCCAGTGGGTGAATTCAGCCCACCAGCATTCACTTACAACTTACCAAAAAAGTGAAATTTCACCCCCACAATTCACGTTATTTATAACATAAGAACCATTTGTTAATCTACAACAAAATAAGGACCCGATGTATCGGATAGGTAAAGTCATTGTGTGAAACTCCACTGTAAGTGTGCTGGGACATTTCTGTGTTTTGTATTGTTGCAAGCCTCTCACAAAAAAGAATAAAAAAAAACAAAAATGTTTTTAAAGTCCCCACCCCAACATACACGCATGTAAACATGTGTCAGGTGCGGATACCTGCGAAAACGACGATTGCGCCTATTACGACGCACATGTTACATATCGCCACGAACGGCGGAATGAGAGCAATAATTTTAGGGCCATCAATCACTGATGACACTAAACTGATGAGCGGTAAAAGCTTTTAAAGCGTCGCCTATGGCCAATTTTGGGTATGCTAGTTTTTTGTGATTTCGCGAGTGCACGCAATTTTTAAGCTTGACATGTTTGGTGTCTATTTACCCGACGTGACCCAGACTTTTAAATTTTACCAAAAAAGTGGGTAATATTAGTTGTTTTATAACATAATGTAAAAAAAAAACTTATTCTTTTCAAAATTTTCAGTAATTTCTCCTGATTATAGTAAAAAATAAAACCTCCAGTGGTGATTAAATACCACCAAAAGAAAGCTCTATCTGTCCCCAACAAATGGTATAAAATTCATTTCAGTACAGCGTTGCATGACGGAATAAATGTCAGTCAAAGTACTGCAGCGCTGAACACTGAAAAATGGCCTAGCCAGGAAGGGGGTCTTAACACCTGGTCTTCAAGCGGTTAAACCTTATTGCATTGTCTGCATCCAGTACCTTTTTCTCCCCCAGTATCCCCCCACATTTATCTGTCAATGACGCTCGTCCCTGCCGCCAACCCTGAAGCAATCCTCTGTTCCCCGATCTTCCTGGTTGCGGGGGGAGGATACAAATGGCAGGGAAGCCATAGACTCCTTCTTTCATCAAACTGTTGGGTGGAGGAGGGCCATGGCCTGCCACAGGGCTTTGTGTGTCTATGGAGGCACACAGCCACTGTGGGCATGAGCGCGCACGGATGCCTCCATTAACCGATGGAGGCACCTGTGCAGGGGGCGGGGCGCACTGCGGGGACCCACTTGAAAACAAGGAATTGAAAACTTTTTTTTTTTAAATGGCAATAGACTGGGTCTCCTTGTAGCAAATATTTTTCTTAAAAAGGAAGCTTTAATATTACTTTAAAAACAAGACAGTTTTATTATTATTGATCATTGCTTTTCACATTAAAGACCAAACCTAAGAGCAAACAATACCAGCTTTTGTCACACCCAAGCCTATATGACTTAGAAAATTCAGAAGTGCTAAAATGCAAGCAGTAACCAATAGGCCAAGCTTAACGGAGCTTAAAAAAACATTTAAATGTTAAAAAACAACAACTTTTCCAATGAATAGGGAAGCAATACTGCAGCAATGTATGTGAAACAGATATACTTTGCCACTTGGCACATTTTGTATGATTTCTCCCAGGGGAGGAGTGGCATGCAGTAACAGGATGTAACATGATCGCACTGTGGTTTTACACTTACCAGAGCTGTGGCAGTAGTCCATCTGCTGGGGAACCTGGACTGTAAAGGCAATCAGATCTGGACCAAGTAAAGACTCTGGCTTTCTGGTCTCTTTCAGCCACTTGCTCCTGTGCAGGTCTTTGGTGTCTGAGGGTCCCTGAATCAAGGGGATTAGCTTCTCCTTCCCAGCTTCACCTTTTGAAAAATGAATACACAAATTCACATATTCTACTCACCGTGAATACTAAAGGTCTTCTAAAGGTTATATTATTGAAGATTATTGGTTAGCAGTTATGTTTATGAAAGGAGGGTTATGGGTTGATTCCCTACGAATATCTAGAACCATAAAACTACTCTTCAGAGCTCCTCTTTTTTTCAGTTTTGTATTGCTGCTAATCATATGAAATATGATGTTGCATCACTGATAATAATGGAGCATTACCTGACATAGATAAAGAAAACGCCTAACAGTCTAAAATAGAACTCCAGTCAAACTTTATTAATTTTGGTGGAGAAGGGTTAAAACCTAAGTTTTTATTGCTTTCTGTGTCACTGTTGCAAATATTTCCCCTTACTTCCTGTCCTAGTGACCACTTGTCATCAATGTAGCATTTAAAGTGGATATGTCCCCAATGGGGACATAGGAACCAAAGTGTTTAAAAAAAGTGACAGAGGTTCTAAATCATCTACAAAAATGTAAGAATGGTGTTCCTCTAAATAATTTAGCTGGTGCTAGATCTTAAAATAATGGGTGGACAGGAGTTTTTACTTGTAGATTGAAGGCAAATGCTATATAAGCTCTATACTCCTTTCCAGCCAATGGCAGACAGAGTACTCAACTACACCACTGGCAAATTCACTGTATATTGGTGCACTGCTAGAAAAATGTTAGCAGTGTCCATGTCCACAGCAGTGACAGGCAATCTCAGTAACCATTCGGCCCACACCTAGTATAAAAGGGCCCCCAACTCCCAGAGGGCCCTTGTGCAGCTGCAAAGTCTGGACTAATGTTATGTCCACCCCTTCTCCCAGACAATTCCTCTGACCTACACCTAACTGACACAGCATAGGAGCCGAGATGTGCCTTGCCTAGGTTAGAAAGAAATCTCAGAATCTATCTGGCTGCGTGGAGTCATATCTATGTGTAAATAGTGGTCTGTGAATGATCAGAAGTTCCTCAGCTAAATAGGATGACCACAAAACCAATCTCCCTTTTTAAGCCTATTGGCAATTCTACACAATTTGCTTCTGCTCTTACCCCAGAGTTACTGAAAACATGAGCTCTCTCATTAGGGGGACAATCTGCTGTGCATTGCGATTAAATCCCTACATTTTTCAAATTAAAATATTGGCAAGAATCTGCCCGTATAGGTTTTTCATATGGAAGCCACAGCTTGTATGTATCCATTATGATGGTTTGATAGAAGCTTTTTGCAACTGCAATTTAACTATAGAACTGGACACGGCTTTAGCTATATATTAATTTATTTATTTTTTTGTCAACCCTAATAATCATTGTTTACAAAAAAGAGTCTATGATAAATGGCAAGTAACTTATTTGTGTCGATGTGACCAATAAAACCTTCAATATTTTGCAGAAGGGAAAAAAACTGAGCTGTTTATTAAACAGATTTAATGAAAGCAGCTTATGTGTAAATGATCCTCATGGGCTCAAAATGTGCCATTCAATTTCATAGTGAATTAAAATCGGAAATATAGTCAAGATTTTACTGAGCTCATAAAAACCCAGGCGGTGGTGACATTCCCTTTCCAGATAATATTCCTGCCTCCATTGTATTCGCAGGTTCAAAATCAGTCATGGGTTTATCATCTTGGCTCCACTCCAAAGCATTATCATCAATGTAAATAAATTAGCAAGTATTTGCACCACTAATTATTTTATTGTTACATTTATTAAAGTGGCCATTGATTTATTAGCACTGTGGTAGAAGTAATTCTGGTTCTTGGCTGTAGGCCAGCAGGAAATGTTAATGATCTTAAAGGAAACTTGTCAGAGAAAAACTGGAGCAGCCGCTGCAGGTCTTGTGAAAATGTCAGTAAGGTTACTTTATCTCTACAAGGAGTTTGTATGTTCACATTTTTGTACGTTGAAGTTTCTTCTTACAGTCATGAAACGGCCCAGTCAAACCATATCCAGTGCGTTCGGGCACGGTTCGAGACCGAAACGCACTGGATCGCATAGATCAAGCTAGGCTGCGTTCTGGGGTGGGAGGGGGAGTGGCGGTGCCATTCATGTCAATGGCACCGCAGACACGCCCTAACCCAACCGCCGTGTGATCGGCCGCACCAGAACGCAGGGTACAGGAATGCCCTCCTTTCCGGTGCAGTGCAATCTCAAATAATGCATAATCTTTACAAATCGCAGTACACCGGAATGGAGGGCATTTCTGTACCTCGTGTTCCGGTGCAGGCGATCACAGTGCGGGCGGGGGGCGTCTGTGGTGCTATTGACATGAATGGCACAGACACACCCCCTCCTGCCCCAGAACACTGACCGGCTTGATCTATGTGATCCAGTGCGTTCCAGTGTATTCCAGACCATAGAAAATGAGACAAGCAGTATATTTTTGGTCTGAACCTTAATGGACTGCACTGGTGTGAACAAAGCCCAGAAATAACATAGGGATACTTTTCTGGTTTGGGAACAAACTGTTCTGGTCTGGACATGATATGGACATGGTGTGAACAAGTTCATACCATGTCCGAACCTTGTGCAGACCAGAACAGTTTGTTCCTGTCTCTTTTTCTCTGGTCTGGAATGCACTGGAACGCATGGAAATGCATGCAAATGCACTGGACTGCACCTGAAAGCCCAATTTAAACTATTAAAAAATTAAGCGGCAAAATTGTGCACTGTGCTGCATTTGCAGATCTGCTCCGAACATGGTGTGAACAAGCACTTAGTGGAGTGCAGCAACCACTTTAATGATTGTAGACTGAGGGTTTGTTCACACCAGTTACAGTGCGTTCCAGAGAAGTTAGCTGCTGGAACGCATTGTAACGCATCCTGACTGGCTCCCTGCATTCAGGGGCGGGAGGGGGCGTGGCGGTGCATAGAAGTCAATGGCACCACAGCCATGCCCCCCTGCCCGCAGTGTTGCTCACCCACACCCGAACGCGTGTTTTCCTGGCCAGTGCGATCACGAAAAATGCAGCAAAAAATAGCTGTAAGTCAGAATGAGGCTAAGTGAGGTAACATTATACATTTTGTACAGTAGCACAGGTAATCGGATAGCTGGGGGAAGCATTTCAGTGGAACGTTTGGTAGAGCTCTTCAGTATCAGGTGGATATTGTGGCTGCACCTCACATGCTAAGAAAGATGCACTAAATGCACCTTGCAATCAATCGGACGAAAATTTTCATCTGATGATCGAACCGTCGTACGATTTTCGTACGTCGCCCCTATTCTGCCCCGACCATCACACAGTTCAATTAGTGGTCTTCAGCAGAAATCACCTGGACGAGTTTCGTTAATCGACCGCACAGATTTTTGCTTGCGCATGAGCAGTGTAGACCGTACGATTTTTGACGTTTGGAAGCGCCATCAACCTTGCGAAAATCGTACGATTCGACAGAAGTTTTCTAACCTGCTGGAACGTCAAAAGTCGTACGATTGTACAGTATTTTCGGTTGTGAACTGCCCATCCACGTTACAAATATTGGACAAAAACGCAATCGCAAACGAAAGTCGACTGATATTCGTTAGGTGTATGGGCACCTTAAGGCAGGGGTGGGTAACTCTGGCCCTCCACCTGTTTCAGAACTACAAGTCCCATTAGACATTGCAAGACTGACCGTTACAGGCATGAATCCCAGAGGCATGTTGGAATTTGCAGTTAAAGCAAGGCTGGAGAGCCGGAATTGTTCACCCCTGCACTAATATAACAAAATCAGTGCATAACTACTATATCAGCTTTTCTGTCCATTTGTTCCCAGGGAGGATATAACAGGATCAATGAGGCAAGATACCAATTTGCAGCCTATGGTAAAGATCTCTCACTTTGGTGGGTTTGTCTTCAACACATTACAGAGAACCACCTGTAGTTCTTGCCAATGTGTACTTGAGCAGCGGATTAGTAAGCACTGCTGCTCTGTTTATAATGCACTGCACGACCCACCACATATACGTGGGGATTTATAAACCAAAGAGAGAAAAAAAACAACAAAACACAAATTGTATTTTAGCATTTACAAATTCCATAACAGTTACTGTTGCTTATGTGATCAGGAGCCTTCTTTGATAAACTCTTGCGAGCAGTGGTCTAGATGTATTATCCTGGCATAAAAAAATGAAAAACACCCAGAAAAAAAATCTTTCTGATTCATAGGAACAATGAATAAATTCTTGTTTCAGTAACTCTCCTTGTAAAAAGTAAGGCCAATTCTCCTATACAGGCAATAAAGTTTTATACGGTCCAGCTGCACATACCTGGGGCTTTGGCACAAATTTTTATTGATCCCAGGGTCCCGGAGACACATTTGACCAATGATGTGCTGCAGAATTTCAGTTCGACATTCTGGATAGAACCCTCCAGAGTTGGCAGCGCATTCTTGGATTTCACACCTAATAAAAGAAAGCTGCAAATGTACTAGCCTGTTGAATTGTAATATGCTTTAATATTCATTCGATTAGACAGTAACACAATCATTTCAATTCAGTTCTATTTTTTTTTTTTAATTACCAACATCAGACAGCAGATTGGATTCGTGTTCAAACAGTATTAATTCCAAAACATTCTCATAGTGTTTAAAATAGCACTATTTGCAGTTCTGCAGGTGTCTATAGTTTGGCAGAAGTGTCAGTGGCAGAGAGTACAAGTTAACAGTGTAAAGAAATAAGTAACAGCCAGGGCACGCAAACCAAATGCTTTTTCATGTTCAAAAACAGTGAACTCAGAAAACCACTACTGTCGGATAAATCAAATGCTAAGAGGATTAAGACACACAATGAACTTTTCTTATTGCTTCTTTCTACCAGACAACTGGAACATTAGAGAACAGGGTGGTGAAACCTTGCATACAAAATTTATTATCTGTTCTGTTGTATCATCTTCCATATTTCTGCAGGCACTAAAAAGAGCCACTTGCGCCAGAACAAGTATGTAGCGTTTGCAGGAGTTTTTACTTTTCTCTCGCTGCATACTTGTTCTGGGACAGTGGCTCAAAGCATTGAGGCTAAAGTCAGCCAGAAAACTAGAATTGTGAGGGAGCCAGCAATGACAGACTCTCCAACTGTGTGCTCATGTGCAATAGTGGGTGTGTAAGAATGTGCTCTACTGTATAGGAGATCCGTTTTGCGATTCCAGGTCACATAATGTTAAGTGTTAAACATTACAGCTCAATATTTTCATCAAGGCCCTGACCCAAATGTATCTTTCAATCTTAAACATAAATAGAAGCGATAGGTGTAAAATAATCCCCCAATTTAATGTGAAGAAGCTGTGATATCCCAAAACCAATGCCACAGTCATGCAAGACTGCACCCAACCTTGGCTTTGCACAGGGCTACACTGAGTGAATTAGAATTTGTTTTACTAAGAAAGGATACTGTATTGGTATATTATTATGCTACAGGATTTATATAGCGCCAGCAGTTTGCGCAGTGCTTTACAATATAAGGAAGACATAACAATTAATACAATTCAAGACAAGGTGGTAAGTTGGGCCCTGCCCCTGAGGGCTTAAATCTAATAGGGAGGGACAAGTGATACATGAGGAGGTAGCTGTGAGGGGATGAATTGTTTGAGAATGTGATGGTTCAGTGGTTAGGTTGAGGTGGGATAGGCTTCCCTGAAGAGATAAATAAAGGCAGTCAGAGTGGGAGATAGATGGGCAGGTTGGGGTAAAGAGTTCCAGAGGATGGGAAGAGACTCGAGAGAAGTCCTGGAGGCGAGCATAGGAGGAGTTAACGAGGGAGCTTGAAAGCAGGAGGTCTTTGGAAGAGCAGAGAGGACGGTTAGGGTATATTTTGAGACAAGGTCTGAGATATAGCCAGGGGCAGAGTTGTGAATAGCTTTGTAAGTGGTTAATATTTTGACTTTTATAGCAATTTACCAGTACCCTTTATTGGTTAACTACTATTGTCAAGATGCAAGGATGTTCTGAAAGCTTAAATCCCTAAAACTGTAGCCTCTAGACTGTAATGTGATGATCATCCTGCCAAAGGACTGTTAAAGCTCAGGATGAACAACTCAAGAACTCTGCCGTCAATATGAGATGTACTGTCAACTACCATATTATTGCATTTAATGTTCATTTCATCTCATTTGGTAAAACAAAAAGTAATGAAAAACGAACAGGTATTACTTCCTAATTCCAAACGTCCTGCTTTTCTTCTACAACATAATACTCTGCAGATGCTGCATTAGTGGTACACACATAACAAGTGCAAATTTCCAAACCAGCATACATTACATGGGTAACTAGTAACAAAATTATATAATGAATTATAACAATTATATCAAAAAACAAAAACAGTGGCACTGACAGAACTCAATAATTTTGAAATAGTATAGAGTTGTAAATGCACTTGGTTTTAGTTCACAAGCTCTAGGAGCATCCATTGGGGTCACAAGGCCAAAGTACCCAGGAGATAAGCCTGTACAGGGGTTTCCTAATGCTAATGTGTCAGATGACAAATGGAGGAACGGAGAAGAGAGAACAAGTACGGCATCACAGCTGACTATCTTTGACTTTTGTAAATCCACTCTTCATCCTTCTCAAAGAGTTCCTTCACTTGAGTTCTGCTTATCAGTGCGGTGTTCAAAGTCTGTAATCATCAATTGAAATTACATGTGGCACAAGCAGTTACTAATGACAAACAAAAGAGGAGTTTCCTGACCTAGCACTAGCGATTTTCTTCTCTCTGGATATTCATTATAGGAAAGTTTATTCTCCATAGGGTGCTGTGCACGTGGGAGAAGGTGTAAAACCTTCCAGGTCCTTCAAACAATATGAAAGATAGGGTCCTCAGGGGGTGTAGAAGGTGAGACTGCGCCTCTACCGATTATCTTGGCTAGTCAGTCTTAATCCTACACTTTAGCTGTGTTTCAGCCAATAGAAGAGAACCTGCAAGACTGCACACAAAAAAAAAAAGATTGGATGATTAGTTGGAGGTCAGTAAGAGATGTACATAACTTTCACTTGTATGGCAACAAACCTCTGGTCTGCATACCTCAAGTCAATGGGTGCTCCACTGACAAAACCTGTAGAGAGTTTTAGCGGAGATTAAAGTATAGGAAACCCACGGCGGCAAACTGCATATTAAAAGCATAGCATCTAGGAGATTGATTGGTATTTGCTGAATACAATTAATCCTATCTACTCATACCTCCCAATCACCAGGAATCAAAAGAACCTATTAAAAAAAAAATATGCAGACTGCTGCTCTCACTTTAAAAACTGTAGTTACCTGGCTGTCATGCATGCCAATTATCTGGCTTTGGTGCTTTTCGAGTCAATACGTGCAACATACATGAAGCCAAAGAAGTCAGAGTTTAGTCAAATCTGATCTACATACTTACTTTAGGTCAGTGACTATGAAAGCACTGAATGAAGGGCCTGTGTTAACAAGCTTTTCTTCACAACAGATGGGTTTTGCAATCTATGGGTGTGCTAAGCCCGCTTGAAGCAGGTCAAATATAGGTCAGTAGGAGGTCAACTACAGATCAAATGCATCTGCCAAAGAATTCTGAATGATCTCAGAAGCATCTCAAACTAATTTTAACAAGCCCAAGACCCATCAACACAGGCCCAAAGAAAATTGATGGGAGAATTATGTAGACTGCAATTATTGACATCCTGAAGTCCAAGTTGATTTTAATCCATACGGCGGAACACAACCACTTGCAGCTGGCCACGTCAGTATGCCATACGTCGCTGGCTTTTAACCTTCTGCTAGGGACCATGCTTTAGCGACCATGAAGTTATACCAGAATAATTAAATAATTAATGCAATGCTGAGGCTGCAGGAAAAGAGATTGAGGACTCTGTACCCGGAATTTATTTTCCTATTTCAAAAGGGAAATGTGAGGGGTCTGTTTAGACCCTTGGGATTTCCTGGAGGCGCTCCTAACAGTAGTAATAACAAAAAATAATACAAATAAAACAAAACCCCCACACACAGAGATAACATACACATGCACCATATTGCGGTGCACGCCATGCACATGCACCGAAATATCAATTTAACTGTGGCAGTGCATGGCAAAGTGTTGTGACACGCTGTGTTGCGCTTAAATGTACACCTGTATAATTGTATAACCACACACACAGCTACACAGCGCACAAACGATTTTTACCATAAGTTGCTTATTTACAGTTTTGCGTTACCTTTTTTTACCGTTTCGCAAAAAGGCAAAATTTCAAATTTACACATTTTTATCATTAATTCAATACAGTTTTATCTTTTAGATTTAGTCAGAAAAGTTTTTTTTTGTGCATCGATACTGTTTTTACTGTGCTTTTATCAACATAATTGTGTATTTTTAATGGTTTAATACTGATTTGACAAATATTTGCGCAATTATCAAATTTTGTAGCACCATATTTTTATTCAACCAGCCCTGTGCTTTCAGAAAATATATGGTTTGGGGGATCTTTTACAAACTCTAAAAGCTGCCGTTGAAAAGGGCGAAAGGGTTAAGCCATTTGCTGAGATCATTCATAATTCTTTGACAGGAGAATTTGACCAGCAATTAACCTCCTTCTGACTTGCATTTGACCTGCTTTACTTGGGTTTTACATTCCCACAGACACATGAAAATGCAAAACTAATCGAACACCAAAAAAAGTCAGCCAAATACAGGTCCATCAATTGGAGAGCATGAAATACCTAGAGAAAAACATACAGAAGCTACCATTACTGATATCCTTCTAAAAATTCTAGACATCTGGCTATCATGCTGATCTAATGACTTCAGTACTTTATGAGTCACTGACCAAGAACAAGATGATGCAGATCGTCAAAGTGAGAGCTCTTGATCTATAAATCTGTTTTAGGCCAGCGATTCGGAATGCCATTAGATCAAAACCAGTCAAGCAACTAGAATTTTCAGGAAAGATTAGCAATGGCACCCTCAAAACCTACTCTGTATTGGTTTCCTTTAAAGTGAATCTGTGTACAGGATAAAGACATTTTTAACAAGCAGCAAATTTTAAAAGAAGCCCGGTCTACATACACTCGCCCCAGCATCAGCAGCACATTATTGCTCTGGACAGGTTTCCGTACAACTATGGACCATGTCTATCCATTGTGTGCCTAAAGAAGACTGCATTTTGTAGTCTCCATTAGGGAAGTGCATGACAGGTTGGCAAAGCAGGAGCACAGTTGGTAGACAGTTGTCTCCACATTATGGAAAGTGTCTGAGCAAGAATTTTTATAAAAGGATCGCCATGTATTATTTTGATGAAAGGTTTGATACTGCAAAAACATATTAAAACTTAAATGAGACTAAAAAGTGTATGGTTTTATCTTACATTTGATGGAAACATAATAACTGCCTGCCTGCAACACCTAACCGCAAATATTTTCCTGTTTTATCTGCTCCACCTTTTCTCCTGATT